GGGCTGCATCATCAAAAGAAGCGTAAGCAGCATGTTGAGGGAGGTGATCCTGCCCCTGTGCTCTGGTGAGACCCCACCTGCAGTCCTGCAGCCAGCTCTGGGGCCCCCAGCACAAGAGGGATGTGGACCTGCTCGAGCGTGTCCAGAGGAAGACATCGCGACAAAAAAATCAGAGGGCTGGAGCACCTGTGCTATGTAGACAGGCTGAGAGAGCTGGGCTTGTTCAGCCTGGAGAAAAGAAGGCTCTGGGGAGACCTTATTGCAGCCTTTCCAGTGCCTACCGAGGGTCTGCATGAAATGTGGAGAGGGACTTTTTACAAGGGCAGGTAGTGACAGGACAAGGGGAATGGCTTTAACCTGCCAGAGGGGAGATTGAGATGAGCTCTGGGGCAGAAGCTCTTCCCTGGGAGGGTGCTGAGGCGCTGGCACAGGGTGCCCAGAGAAGCTGTGGCTGCCCCATCCCTGGCAGTGTTCAAGGGCAGGTTGGACACAGGGGCTTGGAGCAACCTGCTCTAGTGGAAGGTGTCTCTGCCCGGGGCAGGGGGTTGAAAACTGATGATATTTAAGGTCATCCAGTTCACTGGGAAGTCACTTCTGGCTGGGGAAATGCTTATGCTAGTGAGGTAGAAGCCAGAGGTGCCCCTCAGCTCGCACAGTAACTTCTGGTTACCTCTCGTTAGAGGTAAGGCTATTCTGTGTCCAGACCCAGTTGGCCCAGACCTCTTGGTTATAGACACAGGTTTGTGATTCAGGGCCATTTCTGAATGAGAGAAAGGAGCCTGAATAAAATTGCCTGAAGTGGCACAGGACCACTTATTGCAGGAGGTGTAGTGCTTTCAGTTAGTTCTCACCATGGGCAGAAATCCTTTCTGGTTATACCTCAAATATGTTTGCATCAGCCCCTCTAGAGCACGTGTTGGTGATTTTCGTGTCCCAGCTATCACATTTTCTCTTTGAGCAGCAGATTAGTCAGCACACTTGTCTTCTGAATAGGTACTCCAGGGTGGTGAGAGTTTCAGCTCAAACTGGATGCATTTTACACTCAATAGCCTGCTAAATTATTAATTTATTTGAAGTTCTCTGCTTCCTGGCAAAGCCAGAATGTGTGTTTCTACAGGCCTCAGTCCTGCTCACCTTGGAACTGCAAGTTTTGGCTGGGACTTTAACATCCAGCAAGGAGATCAGGTAAAACTGTAGCATAGTAAGCTGAAAGCTTTATCTCATAGATACACTGCCATGTTCTACGTAAGGACCACTGCATCTGTCATCATTAAATTTATGTACAATCACAGAAAAGACACTTGTCCATGCAGGTGGACCTCCAACTGGAGGATGTAGTAGTAATGTGAATTTAAAGCAATTCAGCCAAAGGAGAACTGCCCCAAGGCTGTGGGATTGCACCCTGTCGGGGAGAGCATAGCCCAGCACAGCTTGTAGCTGCTGGCTGTGGGGAGCAGCATTCTTGTCAGCGTCACCGACAAGGAGAACTGGAACCCCTCTCTCATCTTCAGGTCAGTAAGATTTTGCAAGAAGGGTGAGGTTACAAAAATGGAGACTACCTTAGCTATATAAGCTCTTCTTGCATTTCTTTTTCAAGTTTTTGGCAATCTTAGACTTCAAAGGGTAAGCCTGCACAGTGAAAGTTTGAGGCATACCTCCCTAAAACGCAGGTCCTACAAATCTTTATGCACGGACTTGGCTGCTATCACAAAGTGCGTGCAGAGAGGATGTGCAGGCCTGGTACCTGGAACATTTTTCTTCAGAACTCAGAGCCCCAGCACCTCGAGCTGAAACTATCAGCACAGACAAGTGGTCAGGACTTCTGAGAAAGTAAAACTATTAAAATCAAAATGTCACAGCCTGCCCGCATCCCGGTGCAGCCCATTTATAGAGACCACACTGTGCAGCCCCGCAGCCAGAACCCACTGAGGCACTTTGGAACCTGCATCTCTGCTGAACTGAGTTGCCAAGACCAGGAGGAGAGCACCTGGTCCCACACACAAACAGGCCTTCATCTGACAACCAGTGACAGAACTTGCCTGGGTAGCAGACTTGGAGCCTAAGGTATGTTTCAGGTAGCACCAAGGGAGTGAGATGTTCGTTTGTTGGTGGTGTTTTGTTTATTATTTTTTGTTATAACAGAAATATATATTCATAAATAGTAATTTTCATCTTCACTTATCAGGAGAGATCTGAGACTTCCTTCTGTTCAGACCAGCCTGGTGCCTGAGTGGAAAATTTCACTGCCCAGTTTCAGTGAGGTGCAACTTAGGCTGTTTCTTATGAATAGTTGTAAAAGGCAAGTTACTGCCACAGGGCTCAGTAATAAAGAGGTCTCCATGGACAGCCTGTCATCCTGATGAGACACACTTCTTAATTAAGCAAATATACTGCATTGTAGCTGAAACAATTCCTAAGTGTCCCAACTTTCCTCATCAGATAACTGAGTCTGGAGCTACAGAGCTCCCAACAACAAGGGGTTTTGAAGGATTTCAAATTAATTCCAAGTCTAAAAGTTCAATGCTCAAGCATGTGCAGCATGCATTTCAAACTGTGTTTGAAGAGCAGTAGCTGAGTTTTGTACTACTGCAAAGACCTTCGAAAGGAAGAGAATGGGTACTGTCCCAGTATGTCTGGAAAGACCAGAGATCCATGTTCTTCTGGATTTGGCGCAACTTGCAGGCACATCAATTCAGAAGCAGCCCTTGCAGCTGATCTTGACTGATTTCCTGTTTGAGTACCTCAATGACACTGATTGGTGATTAATGGGAAAACCAGAAAGAAGCCATGGTCAAAATATTGGGCAAACTGTTTAAGCTAGTGAGGGAGGACACTGGTTTTTGCAAAGCAGCTGGTAGTGAGAGCCTGGAGGAGAAAAGGAAAACAGCTGCCTGCAGAGAACTAAATTCAAGCACAGGAACAAAGCGAAGGGCAACAGGCTGGCGTGCTTCAGCACATGAAGTGTCAAGACGGAAATGGTGTATGAATATTGCTCACCTCACTCAGCTGATCGGTACCCTTAGGCTATGCCTACACCAGCGCATAATACAAGCCCCAAGGAGTTAACTTGGGTGCTCAGTTCCTGATCATCTGCTCTGCAAAACATATTAGTGTACCATATTCTATGGTAAAATCATTTGCAACAGTCCATTCAGTTACTCTGACTGCTCCTGAAGGACCACCGGTTGAACGATGCTGGCCACCAGGGCCTGCAAGAGCTACGTGTCTAGTGGGCTGCTTGTGAGGCTGTGGTCTAGTTTGGATGAATGCAGTTTAAAACGAACTCTCCAAAGCCTGCCATTTAAAAAAAGTGGATCATCTTATAGATCTGACCTAGGGCACAGCTGTGTCAACAGTCACTCAGCACAGTTGTATTAATTCAGGCTCTAGGGGAGAAGGTGGGAGTAGAGTGAGAGCAAATGACTTAAACCAGACATACTGCCAATGGAGCATGAAGCTGTGCCCTCTGTGACAGCAGCTGGTGGCTAAGGGAGGTATGGATGTATCCACATTACTCAGCCAGTCATTCCAGTCACATTCCTTCTGTTCACAGCTTGCTTGAAGGAATCTTGTGCTCTTTGAGCTGGCGTTCTCTTTGCCCTTAGCGCTATCTCCCATCTGGGAGCTCACCTCCATGTGAAAGCTCACTGTTAGCAATAGGCCTATATGCAATGCCAAAAAGAAGAACTCCACAGCACAACAGATTTGATCTCTTAATTTTCTTGCCTAAAGCACACTGTAATTTCTTCTGTTTGGCTCTGTGGGTGGAACAGGCATTTCAGCATACAGTGCCACGTTCATTACACGGAGTTCTTCCGCGCTAGATAAATTAACATCTTTATTATTACTGCCAGCTCTCTCCTCCCCCATACCAAGCGGTCGCCTAAGTGAGGATTTCTTTTAAGGACAGACTCCCAGCAGTAGTATTCTTCTCCAAGTGAAGATGATCTCTTCAGAGGCCAGTTCCTTTTGCTTTCTCAGAATCCTGCGTCCCCAGATTTCTTAGAAAGTCATTATCTGAAGATGTCAAAACCACTAGCAAAAATATCCCATGAATTCTAGAAATCAGTGTCATAATCAGTAACAACACAAAACCATAGTGTTTGAGTTAAAAAGTTTTATGCAGGAAAAAATGTTTAACATTTAATATAAAATCAAAGTTTGACATAGCTTATTTTTCAAATGTCACCCTTCTTCTGTTCTTTGACTGACAGTTAGAACACCACAGTTAAAAAAGTCATCCTAAATACTTTTAAAAGCCTTATAAAAACTTTCATAAAGTGCCACCCACAAAAGCACCTAAACAAGAATCTGAGAGAAATACCCATTAGGTTGTTAATTTACTTAATTGCTGCTGAGGAGTAAGCTGTCATTTGTGGAACTGTCAATTTAACAACCATACAACCCAGCAAAAATACCGCTCCACAGACAACACCCCAAGAAAGCACATGTATGCAGAGGTACCCAGCACAGTCGTGTGGGGCTTTAAAATAAATAGGTACTAACATCACCCAAAACCAAGACTACTGGCAAGCGGGAAATGTGGATTCTAAGGGGAGTGATCATCCCAGGCTGTGGCCTTACCATGTGGTAAAACCCAGGCAGCTTGTAGAGCAAACAGGTACAGATTTTAGCTGTTTTTTTACTGGGATAAAAATCATTCCTTGCTAGAAATAACAGAGAAAGGCACTGATCCTATGCTCTCCTCTCTGGCCTTGAATGTACCGTACCATATAAGCACCTTTCCTTTCCCTATCCCCAAAACAGGGGCTCAGAACAACCACCGCACCACAGTGAACACAGTTTGTCTTGCAGCAGCCTCCCTCTGCTCAAGTACCCGGGCAGTGCCCACAGAGTTATCCAGAACACAAGGAGACAAGGCTCTGAGGGCTCCCTCCCGCAAAACTCATGTCCCATGTGAGGTGTCCAGGGAGCAGCTGCACATCTTCCTAACATCAGGTAGCTGCCTGTGGTCCACACAGCCTTCTCTACTCCAACAGCTAGTCTGTATGGTGCTTCTGGTGGCGCACCAGCTGGGGCTGGAAACGAAAGCTCTCCCCACATTGGGCGCAGCGGTACGGCTGCTCCCCAGTGTGGATACGGGTATGCTTGATGAGGTTGGAGTTGCCACTGAAACCCCGGCCACACTGGCTGCATTTGTAAGGCTTCTCACCAGTGTGAGTACGAGTGTGGTTAATGAGGTCAGAGCTCTGCCCAAAACATTTGCCACACTGCCCACAGGCGTAAGGCCGGATGCCGTCATGGGTTCGCTGGTGCTGAAGGAGGTGGGAGTGTTGGCTGAAGCTTTTCCCGCAGGCTGGGCACTTGTAGGGCCGCTCTCCTGTGTGCATGCGCTGGTGCTTGATGCAGGTGGAGCTGTCGCTGAAGATCTTGCCACACTCACTGCACATGTAGGGCTTGAGCCCCGTGTGGATACGCTGGTGCTTGAGGAGGTTGGAGCTCTGGCTGAAGCTCTTCCCACACTCAGCACAGGTGTAGGGTTTCTGGCCCGTGTGGACCCGCTGGTGCTGGATGAGATGGGAGCTCTGGCTGAAGCCCTTGCCACACTCCCTGCACAGGAACGGGCGCTCCCCAGTGTGCATTCGCTGGTGCTGGATGAGGTGGATGCTCCGACTGAAGCCCTTGCCACACTCAGAGCAGATGGTGGGCCGCCCTGCACAAGGAGTGCGCTGTGAGGCTGCTGATGTCCTTCTGTCCCGTCTTTTTACGAGGCTGATATCAGAACAAGGCAGCTTAGTCACCCCTTCTTCCTCACAGCCACCTTGCTGAGCCCCTGAGGAACCGCACCGACTTCCATGGCTGTTCCCCAGCTGTTCCTCTCCTCCTCTGGATCCCGCTGCCAACACATCCTGCAGATCTGTGCTTGCAAGGTGATCTGGAAGGGGACCTAGCTCATCATCTGGAAAAAAAAGTATAACTCCGTGATTCTCGGTGGGAAGTGGCACAGCAGAGAACGGGCAAGCTGTTATCCTAGGGAGCCTGGTCTGCACTGTGTAGGAGGAGCAGTAAAGGGAAAACTGACATGCCACAAACAGCAGAGCGAAAGGCTATGCTACAGGTGTCTCCTTGCCCCCAAGAAATCTTCACATTTTGTCTTCCTAATGCTCTGTCTTCCTATACATACTCTTAACAGCAGGCTGCCAAAGGCTGGCTGCCTGCCCTGAGGGGAAAAGAGCAGGTCTCAATATGAGCTGCATGAAATAAAATGGCTGCTGAAGCAGCTCAAAGAGCATTTTGCATATTCTGTGCTTATGATCTTATCTAACTTATTCCTCACCCATGTGTGTCTCCTCTGAGGCCTCATGATCTTGTTCTTCTCCTTGGTCCATCTGTGCAGTTACGTCAGGTTCAGCAATCAGGAATCCTTACAAAAGCAAACAAAAGCAATCTTAGTTGAATACTCAGCAAGAGCTTTTCACGTGTCTGGAAATCTACTGCCCCTGCTGAATATGGGGAGCAAGCAGAGTGGTTGCCTGCAAGAATGAAGTCAACTGAGCAACAAACGTTTATGGACATTCTGTACACTACTGAGGTACCTGGTGTCAGAGACTTGCCTTAGAGGAGATTCAAGGTTGCCCCTCTTACAATAAATGTTAGGACACAGACCAGACGTGCTGGACTCAGAACTGGTTGACAGCACTGCTAGATACTGGTGTGAGCAACAAGCAAAACCCAGCCAAGCCATACTTACAGTTCTTTAATGACAGCCAAAAGACTCATTACTCTCCTAAGATTATTTTGAATGGAAGATGTTTCTTTAGTCACCAGAACCTGATTCTCTTACTTGCCACCTCACCTCTTCCTTCTCTTTCAAGACTCTCAGGCTGAGGCAGCAAAACCAACAAAACGTGATGGCAATATGATGTCTTGTCTACTCTAGCTGGATTCTGTTAGTTCCCAGCCTGGCATCCCTACTGAGCTCCAACAACCGCCCTGAATGCAACTGTTGGGCAGGGTGCTCTTACAAACACCATCAGCACCAAAGATGAGAACTTTTCCTTCAGGATTTACTATTTTAAGGCCAAACCCAGCCAAACAGTAAGCAACAGCAGTTAGTATCAAGAAGGCAGGCATTAGCAGTTGCTGCAGGAAAAAAAAAATGCAGAACAGAGAAAATAGTCACTTTACGTTAAGAAGCAGGAATCAACGATAGCAGGAAAAGGATATGTGGGTGAATCTAGGAACCAGAGGCTGATGGCATCACAGCTAAAGCTGAGATCACTTATGGGAGTATTTTCAAAGCGTTAAAGACATTACTTCCCCTCCCCCCCCTCCCCCCTTTAATCTTTATAGGTTCTTACTAGTTTGCATCACTTCAAAAATACACCCCCTGAACTCTGCTTCAAGCTACCAATCTCTCTGGACAACTGGTGTCTCTGGACAGCTACTTGAGCTCCAGAGGGGATGGACGAACTGGACATATGGCCACTGGTGCAAACCAACACTGTAGAATGCTCCTTGACCATTCTATCCTTCACCAACAGCGACTTTACAACAGGTAGTGGGTGATAGTGCCAGAATCAAGGAGACAACTCAGATGAAGGGAACAGTTTGAGACCTTGGATGCCTGCAATTACAGAACCACCAGTCTTGAAGTCTTTTATTCTATGTGGCAAATGTGGACAGAAACAAAGAGAGCAAGCAAAAGAGAAAGACTGCAATCTTGAACTGCAGAACCATGAAGCAAAAAAAATAATCAGAGACACAAAAATGAACCCTCAGCAAAAGAAGAGAGGCCTTACACATTAATAATCTGAGTCCCTGCTGTAAATCTCTGCTGAATGCTGAAGTGGACCACCCCTGCAGATGGATTACTTCCAGCAGTTCTAAGCCAATACACGAAGGGAGGTTGCTTTCTGAAGCCCTACAGCTCTTGGGACTACCAAGACTCTCTGCTGCAACAGCCCAGCACGACAAGCCAGACCAAGCTTTTTACACAGTGCGGTATGTACCAGCCAGCCCCACTCCAAAGCAATAGAGTTGCTTGTGTGTGGAGTCAAAACTATGTCCACACACAGACCTTCCCTCCAGGCAGCTGACCTCAAAGAGCCAGGCTTCCCTCCAAAAGCTGTCAAGAAACCCAAACTCTGGGAGAGCAAAGCCCTCAGCACTTCAATATCTAACAGATGTCCAACAGTTGCCACCCAGAGAAACATCTAAGCAAGCAGACAAGGTAGAAAGAAGAGTTCCCTTCTGACTCCGTAAAGATTTCCTGGCTTGGGTTGCCACTGCCACACTGCTGCTATGCTCAGGTTTGCTACAGCAGCTCAGTAGAAAGCAGACAATCCAAAATACAATAGGCTGGTCTGGAGCAAGGAAGAGTTTTGTCCTTTCCCATGATCACAGTCATGTCCCTGTGAAAGGAAGGGACAAACCTCACCAATAGAGGGAACGTTCTTCTTTCAGGGATTTCAACCCTTGCTAGCAGGATCCCTGGGCGTACTGCGTTACTGCTTGAGCGTGGGAACCAAGATGGGAAGAACGTCTGTGTATGTGGGTGTGTGGGGCTCCTGCAGGCACCATCCACAGCTTTAATAAAACAGGATCAGAAGGGTATCTAATTTGGGCCTCCAGCAAGGGATCTGCAAATCCCCCATGCCAGGGCCTTGGCTTTAGCATTGCAATAGTATTATCTAGATTTTGCAGCTGGCTCCTACAATTTATGTTCTTTACCTTGGCTACTTATTTTCTCTTCTGACCACTCAGCTCTGTATTCCTCCCATGGCTGTACCACGCTGTGGAGGTTACAGGACTCATCCTAGCGCAGATCTCCATACTTTCAGCTTCTCATGCTCCTGCAATGCTGTCGGTGGCTACGCGCTCTCAGCACAGTCACGCCAGGCATGACAGCACAAACCTGCAATTCAGAACAAGGTGTTCAGATCTTCCTCTTCCCAGCTATTATCTGGGATAAATAACGCTTGCAGTAAAAAGCAAAACGTGAAGATATTTTTATCATAGACAAGTTACTTATGCAGCTGCATGCATTTCTTTTGGGTTTGACAACAGCCCCCTTCCCTGTACCATCAGATGTACTCATAACCTGCAGTGCTTGCCTGTGCCTGCTCAGCCCTGAGCCTAGCTGGGGGTGCCAGGACAGAAAGGAGAGGGCCTCTGTGGGGTGCACTGCCAGGGCACCCCCAACGCTGTGTGTGGAGCAAGTGTGGTGTAGTTTTTGGGGAACAAGGCAGTGGCAGGGGTACAAAGCTTTCTGTCTGCAGCACCCATAAAAGGCTCTGGGTGGAAAATGGGGAGAGACCGGCTTCTGCTCGTGGGGAGGAGGATGGAGGGGCGGAGCTGCATAACAGGTAGGGGAAGCGAGCAGACAAGGGTGGCAGCTACAGCAGAGCCCC